TCCAAATCAAAATGACTATCTAAGCTAGAAAAATCTAACCTAGATATAATGCATCAAATAGTGCATATCCCAAATACATAGGATACCACAAAATCCAGATTACCCCTCACAAGTCAAAATATTGAACATAAAGATCAATAATAGCTTAAGTAAGCTACACCACCAAAAACACTAAGATCCCCTATTTAAACCCAAAAAACAATCTGAAAGGAGTAGTGAACTTTGAGTCAAAGCAAACTTCCCCTTTTTTCCTCGTAACTCCTGGCAAACCTTCAAGACATTTGGCCGTGAATGTTAAGCCCTTTTTATCCAAATCATCCGTAAGTCGGAGAGAAGTATCCACTCTAATTACACTATCATGCACGGATCTAAACGGTTTGACACTTAGCTTAAGCGTCTTACCGTTTATCACCTCACATTTAGTGACAACATCATTTTGCCTTACTTCACTTTCATCAATCACAACCCTCACGGCATCTTCCAACACGGCTTCGGAGGTTTTACCAGCTTGTTTTGTAGGCTGTCCAGCAGGCGTAGTAGCAAGAACCGCGGCAGTGGCAGTCCCCTGGGCAGGTTGTTGAAGTGTGGCAGCAGGTCGCACAACCGCGGCAGATTTGGCAGGTAACTCAAGCGTGGCAGCAGGTCGCACAACCACGGCAGATTTGGCAGGTTGCTCAACTCCCTTAGCAGGTCTCTTAGGAGCTCCCTTGGCAGGTTCCTCAGCTCCCTTAGTTGCGGCAGATCCTTGGGCACCGGAGGCAGCTGTTGCATCAGTCAGGGCATGAATTACTGCAGTTTTTTCATGAGCAGTAGCCGGCCCAGTTTGCTCATTCCCTAATTTTTCATTTTTCCCCATGCTCTGTTCTTTCTCTCTTTCTCCATCATCCCGTTTGGCAAGCTTCTTACAAATAAATGGGTGGTGCCCAAATTCCTTGCACTGAAAGCAAAAGTTAGGAAAAGTTTCATAAAGCACACTTTGTTTGATTACCTTTTGGGAAGGTAGCCGTATATGAAAAGAAAGTGGCGGTGGCTTTGAAACATCAACTTCAATGAGCACTCTAGCATATTCATTATTTGACCTCTCTTGAGTGATCTTGTCCGTAGTAAATGGGACCCCAACCATAGATGCCACTTCACTCATAGCTTCGTCGTTCCATAGCTTCATAGGTAGTTTGGGGAACTTCACCCAAATTGGTACTTTAAGAAATTCCTCATCTTCAAACGAGAAGTCTTCCGAAAGTACTTTGAGCATAAGAAGTTTCCCAAAAACATTGTAAGGTCCGTCATGTAGTACCTTCAGTCTATCCTCCTCATTTCCAAATTTAAAGATTACCCATCCCTTGTTATGGGACCTCACAAGACATCTTACACCCCACGTAGCTTTAAGATCATGCACCGCTTTTAGTCCGGGAAATTTGCCGGTGAAGTGCCCAACTAGGCAATAGCCCCACATTTCAACCATGGAAGGTAATACCCGATCCCCAAAGTCCAAAGTTTCTCCTTTAGGAGGAACATATCTCAATTTGATGCCATGTGCCGGATCTCGGTTATCCTTAAACAGGTTTGACCATGGAGCTTTGTTTTCTGCCAGAGTTCTAACCTGACCAGCAGCCTTGTTCTGTCCTGCATTCTTGATTGCATCAGTCCCTATATTCCCAGGAATTGGGATATCAATTGTATCACAGGTCCCAGCATTCTTTTTTCCTCCAGAAGTATGGTCTAATGCTTTAGAGACAGCCCCCATCACAGCCAAGGTCGGTTGTTTTTCACTCTCAGTCTGGCTAGTTTTGTTTGGAACAACCACTGCCTTTTTAACATTGTTTCCAGAGTTAAGAGATGGGAAGTCTTCTTCCAAATCCTGTAAAGCTGCATATTTGGACCTGATAAATCTCGTATTGGAGGAGTCCCCAATGGCCTGCTTCGATTTTCCCATCACAAGTACCTGCAGCAGCACTGACAAAAAACGCAGCAAACCTGGTTACTGCCAAGGCCAGTAAACTGGCGCAGCAGGTGTGTTCGTCACAAGTGTTAGGCAGCCTTCGTCCCAGCTGAAATTGCGAGCTGAGCAGACTCAGTTCACAGGTCTTAGACGCCCAAACCAAACACAACAAAACCCCAAAGGACGGAGAATAATCGAAGCAAACCGACTCCAAAATCGCTAATACAGTTCTATCGCAGACCCTCAGTCGCAGGTAACAGTTCAGCTGCGGTCAGGCTCAGATGAACAGTTCTATCGGCGACACTCAGTGGAAGGTCTGAGAACAGGGCGTCGGATTTCAGGCTCAGGTAGCCATGAACAGTAATTTCGCAACTTGGGTATTGTTTTGTCGAACGCAAATCTGTCTTCCAAACAGAAATCCAAGGACAGATTTAGGTTTAAGAAGTGTTAAACTACTGTGAATCAGAAAAAAGACATCATCTATCGATCCTAAGGATTCATCGATGCTCTAAACGTGGAAGGAGAACTGGGTCGCAGATCGTTCCCAGGAGAGTTCAGCTCTCAACTCCTTGACCGCTCTCATTGTATAGTGAGAGTGTTGTTAGTGTTGTGGCCATCAGCCTGGTGGTCATTTTTCATAGATAGGTTTCAAAAAATAAAATTTTCAACTGTGGACATTTACCTATATATATTTAAGGGAAAAGGGTCAAAAATGACACTAAGGTTTTTAATGAAGTTCGAATTAGACACTAAGATTTAAAGTAGACCAAATAAACACAAATTTCAACCTTTAGGTTCTTTTAGGCCACCCTTTTGACGACTCTGTTAGTTCCTTCCCTGTTATCAAGTCTCTCCTTCCTTTTGATTACGAACTCCCGGTATATGCCATCCCAATACTGAACAACCATTATTGAAGTGTGCCGGCATAGGAAGAGGAAACAATAGTAATCCGTGATAATCCATCGATCTCATCTTAGGTACACATAAATCTGAGAGGGTCTAGAGCCCCAACTTCCAGTCTTCCTATTTTCAAAGAAATTCCTAAAGAATGACGGAAAGCAGATGAAGTATAGTCTATTACAGCTTTAATTAAGATTTCTTTTCAAGCTCACAAGTTCACCTCTCGTACATCTAAATCGACAACTTCTCTATATGAACCGGCCGTTTTCTTTTAAAAATACGGGACATATGAAGTATAATATGTCCCCTGCTGCCCGGCCACAATTATTTGATTTAGAGCTAAATAAATAGCTGCACTTGATACGGGAGATGGTGGTTGCTTATGCACACAACACACCTTCTATGGAAGCAGGGGTTGAGACAGGTCGAGATGGGTTGGGGGGCCTCGGCCCCTGCAAGAGAAAAAATTCTTAAGTATATAGTATGTATAAATACTTTTAATCTATAGAAAATATGTCGATATTTTAAACTTTGGCCCATGCAATGTAAATTTTTTAAGGACCAGCCCCTTTAACAATATATTTCTGGCTCCGCCGCTGTATGGAAGCTTTAGTAAACTATATTATATGTCCCCTGCTGCCCATAATTATTAGATTTAGGATGTTAGGTTTATAATTCTGAATTTCTCTTCGATGGGGATGGCGAGAGCACATGGAGCATGGACGCGGTTCAAAATACGAAATTGAAATTTATTTCCAAAATCACCTGGTAGAAATTTTTTCTGCCTAAATTCTCTAAAATGAATATTGTTATTTAGTTTTTGCAGTGCAAGCACAACTACACAACTTCTATGGTAGTAGTAAGGTCCCTCTATAGCCAAGGCTGGAAAGGGTTGTGTTGTTTAATCTTTTCGTTCTCTACCCGTAGGAACTTAGTTTTCATACATTGAGGGGTTGTGTTGTTTAATCAGATGGAAAGGGTGTGGGTGTTGACGAGCTTTAACGACTCGAAGGGTCTTTTAATAGAGTTCTTAAAGAGTTGCTCAAAAGGAACCAAAAGGTTAAAATTTGTGTTTATTTGATTCACTTTAAACCTTAATGTCTAATTGGAACTTCATTAAAAAGAATTTGGGCCAACGGACTATGATGGGTGGTGGACTGATAGCAGGTGGGACTGTGGGAGTGGGAATGGTAGAAATAGTAGGGGGGAATAATACTTCATACAAGTATATAAAAGCAATGAAGTTGGAAAATCATCTACATGCTAGGGTAGTGAAGCGCATGGTTTCAAATTGTGGACTGCAACCGCTATTGCGGCCGCAATATTGCGGTTGCTGAGGGCACCGCAACCGCATCAGCCCGCAACACCCTTATGATTTGGAATCACGGCCAAAACCGCAACGTAACCGCGACGAAACCGCAACATCCCGCAACAGGCCGCAATCGACCGCGACGTGCCGCAACAAACCGCAACGCCTCCGCCTGTCCATCATTCTTTCTGGTGCGAATTTGAAAATAATTCACGCCGCAGCGGCCACAATACGCATCGCAACGGCCGCATTAGCTGCAAAGACCGCAATCGCAACCGCAACTGCGACCGCAACCGCGACCGCAACCGCGACCGCAACCGCAATTTAAAACCTTGGTGAAGTGGTGATGACGTGACAATGAATCAGCAATGACATGGCAATGAACTTGGGATAAGCTGTGAACATATGACCTTGTAATCTAATTTAATGTAATCAACGGAATATAAAAAGTAATTTCCATCAACGGTATTCACTTTTTTTTATACATCGGACTTATTCACTATACTATCATGAATATAATACTAATTTCTTTTTTGAAGGAATATAATATTAATTTCTACTATCGTATTACATAAGAAGAGATGATAGACAATTATTTTTTACCTATTTCTACTAATTTAGCCAGATACAAACTATTGCAAAAACATACATAGCTCTTAACAGTTTAAGAGTAAATGCATAAAGTCTCCTTAAAATATCATCATCATATTATACGGAGTATTGTCTTTCTCCCAAAATTAATAAATGTATCACTTTAATTACTTTTTTATTTATTTCGTATCAATACAGTTCTTTTATTTTTAACTGTTAAATTGACGAAAAGTTCAAAATTTAGCCATCTAAATATCATGTGTGTAACACTTTTTTTACATTGACCAACAACAACAACATTCAAGCCTTAGTCCCAAAAGATATTGGGGTCGACTAACATGAATCGATACATGATAACACCACCAAAAGGAAAAGAAAGAAAATAAAGATAAAAAAAGCTATTATAAAAAAGATAATATAAAACGGGATGAATATACTTATAAATGATAAAATAAAAAGGATAAAAATAATGTTTATATATAAGGATAAAAGAATAAAAAACAAGAAGAAAAAAGATGAGGGGAAATAATAATAATACGAGATCACTCCTTCACACGAATATCCGTCCTCCACTTTGCTCTCTCCAAAGTCATACCCTCATCCAATCCAAGAAGAAGTATATCACTTCGGACTGCCCTAACTCACGTCTGTTTGGGTCTTCCTCGATCTCCCTCTCTTCTCTGCCTCTTTTCCACACATCTCAACACGTCTGACACGTGCATCACTCGGTCTCTACGCACATGACCAAACCACTGTAGGCGAGACTCCCGCATCTTGTCTTCAATAGGTGCTACTCCCACCTTTTGATTTTTAGACATGCAGACGTGCAGACAAAACTAAACAAGAATAATGGGATTATTATTACTATTATTTTGATTGTTATTCTTATTGTTATTAAGTGAAGCTGTTGCTATTGTGAAAATTCGTTGGTCTTTTTTCTTAAGAAATTAAAGGCATGATACATATATACATTAATTAGTTTTAGTATATAAGTAGAAATTTTGAACATTAGTTACAATTAAAAAAATTGGGCCTTCCTTATCGATATAGGTAGAAATAGAACATAAATAAGGATGATTATAGTGATAAATTATTCATAATTTATTTTAAAATACAAGTTATTTAATACTTTCCACTGATCATGTAAAATTAAGGAATACCGATTTGTTAAAGAATTTAAATTAATAGACTAGTAAGTAATAACATATTATACCAACTTGCTAAATACAAGTATAATTAAAAAAAATAGTCAATTACTTGGTCAATTGGCTAGAGAAAATCTGAAATAACAACCTACACTCTGAAATTTCATCAAAAATTAGTTTACGTAATGGAGTAATGGCCCTAATAATTACTCCGTATAAATAATTAGAGGCAACAATAAAATCAAAATATATCACATAATATGATAATAATCAAGAAAATTAATAAACAATAGTCCTAACAAGTTATGAAAATCAATCTTTTATAATTGACGAACTGTGGCATGGAGAGCGACTAAGGTGAGGAGCAGACTGAAGGCACCGAGGTGTGGTGCAGTCGTAGCCCTAGGCGGTGGTCGGCGCGGCGCTCCTCGTCGGTCGTCCATCTCTGTTTCTTCGCTTGCAGATAGCCGAGAGAGTGAGAGGCCAGGGCAATTGAAGGATGGTGCGTGACTGCTTTTAGCTTGAACGTGTGCGTTGTAAGTAAGAGGGCTTCTATTTTTCTTGGGCTTAGATTACCTAATACTACTATTAACTTTTAAATTTTTTTGGGCCTTCAATATTTATGGGCCCTGTGCCATTGCACACCCAGCACTTGTCCTGGGTCGGCCCTGTTGATTGTACGTGAAACATATTACTCTTTGGACAGCCATGTCAATATAGCACCGTAGATTTAAATACTGAATCATGTGTAAAAAATAATATATGTATCACGTCTTTATGTTCTTAAATAAGAAAATAAAGATTATTACCTATGTAGCACCGATACCAGTACGCGGAAACGCGGAAACGGGTACGGGGATACGTCAAAACAAAAAAAAAGTAGGATACGGATACAGGGCCATATTTATAAATATTAAAAGTTATGGGGTTGTATTTAAAAATATTAAAAGTTATAGAGGTCTATTTATAAATATTAGAAATAGATTTTTTTTTGAATATATATATACATATATATAATATCCTATGATGTCTATCCATTCATTGCATTGAAACATTTTCCTTTTTCAAGATACTTAGTAATAAATTCATAATATTTCTCATATACACTAGCGTATCTCGAAATATAAATGTAGTCAATAATAAGTCATTAATTTAAAATGAGAAATAAGTCAAACAACTACAATCTTGAAATTAAAAGTGAAAGTACCCAATTCGGAGTATGAGTTAATGATTTAATTCGGATATAGCCATATAGGCCCATTATTTGATCACCAAGTAAAATGTAGTTTTAGATTTTCATTTTTTTTAAAATTTTATTAAGTAAATTTTGGGATTTTTTTTTAAAAAGTTGATACGGGTATTCGTCAGGATACGAGTATCGGAAACTTTCAAAAAATTACAAAAAAAAAATGGAAACTTTTAAAAATTGCAGATACGGCCCGGGAACGTACGGTACGGGTATCCTAGAGTATCGGATACGGGAACGTATCGGATACGCCGATACGCTAGCCTATGGAAGTATCCGTGCTTCATAGATTATTACTATTAATATTGGTATTTTTATTTTTATTGTTGTCGCTGCTATGATTATTAAAATTATTATGATTATTGTTATTATTATTAATTTTATCATCATCATCATCACCATCTCTATTATTACTATTACTACTACTATTATTATTAGTATTATTTTTTTTATTATTACTATTACTATTTTTACTAATACTACTACTGCTGCTGCTACCATCATCATTATTATTACTATTACTATAGTTGTTGTTGTTGTTTTTATTGTTATTGTTATTGTTATTGTTATTGTTATTGTTATTGTTATTGTTATTGTTATTGTTATTGTTATTGTTATTGTTATTGTTATTGTTATTGTTATTGTTATTGTTATTGTTATTGTTATTGTTATTGTTATTGTTATTGTTATTGTTATTGTTATTGTTATTGTTATTGTTATTGTTATTGTTATTGTTATTGTTATTGTTATTGTTATTGTTATTGTTATTGTTATTGTTATTGTTATTGTTATTGTTATTGTTATTGTTATTGTTATTGTTATTGTTATTGTTATTGTTATTGTTATTGTTATTGTTATTGTTATTGTTATTGTTATTGTTATTGTTATTGTTATTGTTATTGTTATTGTTATTGTTATTGTTATTGTTATTGTTATTGTTATTGTTATTGTTATTGTTATTATTATTATTATTATTATTATTATTATTATTATTATTATTATTATTATTATTATTATTATTATTATTATTATTATTATTATTATTATTATTATTATTATTATTATTATTATTATTATTATTATTATTTTTATTATTATTTTTATTATACAAATGGTTTATAATAAAGTGAAGTTGTTTCCACTATAAAAATTATTTGATCTTTTTCTTAAGGTGGATTTCTTTTCCAGTGGCTGGTCAGCGTGTTAAATATAAATTGCTATACACAGAACACAATACACACATGGTCGGGTGTGGTATCAATAAAATAGTGCTTTTTGTGAAACGTGCAAACGGGTGCACTTTGTGATCAAAGATGATAAAGTTTTAAGGGACATATGTAGTATAATATACGCATTCCGTTCAGGAAAGAGAAAAATAGAAAAAACAAACAAACAAAGTGAAAGCAATTAAAACGAGAAATTTATGTATCATATTTTGGGAAAATATATTTAATTGGATTAATTCCTTGCCTTACATGTACATGGGAGGAGATAGATATACATAACTCTAAGCCTAAAAAGGAGCCCTCGGCCCAACTATATTCGTATAAACTAAGTAATCTAATTAATTAAATGTACAAGCCCATAATGTATTCTAATACCCCTCCTCAAGTTGGAGCATGGGGACTAAAAATGTCCAACTTGCCAAGAAGAAAATGGAACTGTCTTTGAACAAGGGCCTTTGTGAAAATATCGGCTAGCTGATCGCTGGTAGACATGTGATGAGCAATGAGAGTGCCGTCCTGAATGGCATCACGAACATAGTGACAGTCAACCTCAATATGTTTGGTACATTTGTGGAAGACGGGATTATGAGCAATATGAAGGGCAGAACGGCTATCACATCGTAAAGCTATAGGTCGTGAGTGAGTCACTCCCAAAGATATATAGTAAAAGACCTTTGAGCCACTTTAGCTCCGAGGTGATTGTGGCCATAGAGCGATACTCAGCTTCCGTAGATGAATGAGGCACCATGTGTTGTTTCTTGGTTTTCCAAGAGACCGGGGAACCCCTAAGAAATATCACCCAAGAGAGCGTCTAGTGAGAGGACAACTCGCCCAGTCAGAGTCACACCAGCCAGTGAGCTGCAAGTCAGACACAGTGGGAAGAAGAATCCCCTGGCCCGGGGATCCCTTCAGGTAGCGAATGACACAAACAGCGACTTGCCAATGCTCCTTTCGGGGTGCCTGCATAAACTGAGATAAAACGTGAACAGCATAAACCAGGTCTGGCAGTGTGAAAGAGAGATAAATGAGTCGTCCCACCAACCGACGATATGACTCGAGATGAGACAATAGCTCGCCCGTAGCCAAAGATAGCGAATGATTTTGTTCCATGGGAAAAGCCGCTAGTTTGGCACACAGAAGACCAACTTCAGAAATAATGTCCAGAGTATATTTGCGTTGGCACATAAACAAACCCTCCGGACTACGTGCCACCTGAATGCCTAGAAAATATTTGAGAGGACCCAAGTCATTCATGTGAAAACACGTGTGAAGGTAGCTCTTAAAACGAGATAATGTCGTAGAGTTATTGCCAGCGACAATTAAGTCATCGGCATAGATGAGCACATGCAAAGAGATATCTCACTTATGATAAGTGAATAAGGAGTAGTCAGAATAAAATTGACTGAAATCATAGGTCCGCAAAGAACTAGTCAGCTTGGCGAACCAACAACGTGGTGCTTGACGCAGACCATATAGGGACTTGTTGAGGCGGCACATGTTGGGCTGCGGGTATGCGGGGTCAGAAACAGCCAGCCTGCCGGTGCAATCGAACCGCGTGGCGCTTTGCATGTGTTATAAATGGGAGGAGTGTGCTATACTATCAGCGATTGCTTTTAGTGTAGCGATAAGCGCAACGATCCACAAGTGGTATCAGAGCCAAGGTCACTAGTTCGACCCCCGGCAACAGCATGCTGCGCAGTTGTAGGCTGGCAGGTGCTGGGGGAGATTGTTGGGTCGCGGGTATGCGGTGTCAGCAACAGCCAGCCTACCGGTGCAATCGAACCTCGTGGCGCTTCACATGTGCTATAAATGGGGAGGAGTGTGCTACACTATCAGCGATTGCTTTTAGTGTAGCAGTAAGCGCAACGATCCACAGCACACTAGATCAGGCCGAGAAGGATAAAAACCCGGCGGAGGCTTCATATAAACTTCTTTAGCCAAATCACCATGAAGAAAAACGTTATGGACGCCCATTTGATGCAAGTCCCAATGTTTAGCTGCAACAACTGCAAGAAAGACACGAACCGTAACCATCTTTGCAACCGGAGCAAAGGTGTCGGTATAATCAATACCCGCTTTCTGGTGATTGCCAAGTACCACCAGTCGCGCCTTGAGGCGTTCCACCGTGCCATTGGAATGATATTTAACTTTGTAAACTCATTTGCAACCAAGAGCCTTTTTACCAGGCGGAAACGGGGCCATATCCTAGGTGTGATTAGTTTCAAGGGCACAAATTTCGCTCTCCATAGCCACCTTCCATCCAGGATCAGTCATAGCCTCTCGGAAGGAACTAGGTTCATGACCTGCAAAAATTGCTCCGAGAAACATACGATGATGTGCAGAAAATTTGTCACACTTCACATAATGAGCTATAAAGTAAGGCATACCTGAGGAACCGAGAGGAGAAGATGACGACGGAGATGGGCTCAGTTTTCGAACATGATGAGTAACGAAGTCCTTCAACAAAACCGAGGTACGTTTGGAACGCATCCCTCGGCCAAGAGTGAGGTCCGCATTAGATGTTTCGGCGGCAGTAGTAGAGGCGTCCGCATGAGATGACTCGGCGGCAATAATGGAGATATCCGCATGAGATGACTCAGCGGCAGTAGTGGAAGTAGCAGACTGGGTAATTGGCTCGTCGTGAAGCACACTAGTTGTGTCCGTAGAGTCACATAATGCGGGAGGAGCTGACTGAGCAAAAGGAAATATTTGTTCATGGAATTAAACGTCCCGAGAAACAAAGATATCGCCGATGTCCAAGTCATATACTTTCCATCCCTTTTTCTGGGATGGATATCCAACAAACACTCACTTCCGGCTCCGAGAAGCAAATTTATCCCCCTAAGCTTTCAAGTTATGACCAAAACTTAAACATCCAAAAACTCGCAAATGACCGAAGTCAGGTACACGCCCAAATAGAATTTCGTAGGGAGTCTTACCCCCTAACAAACCTGATGGAGTGCGATTGATAGTATAAACCACGGTCAGAACACATTCGCCCCACAAAAATAAAGATACATTAGCTTGGAACATCAAAGCATGAGCTACATTTAAAATATGTCGATGC